GTGATGATGGGCGCTAAAAAGGTGAAGACAAGTAAAGGAGTGTGAAGGGGAGTGTTTCTGACCATACGGGCGGTCCAAGTGAAGAGGACTTCCTTCCATTGGAATTGAGGATAACTGATGCCAACTTGGGGATGAAATGGCTACAGTCCTTGGGATACCAAGGTTAATTGTGGAGCATTGATGATGAAACTATTGGTGGAGGAAAGAAAGGTGATGATTAGAGGTGATGTAGGGTTATCCAAAGCTATTATGTCACTTAAAATCATGGTGAGGACCATACAGGAGGTGGGAGGAGAATTTCTGGTGGAGTTGTAGAACTTAGAAGGGATCATATTATAGGAGGAGGGAGGCATACCTCCTTCAGTACAATCACTTATACAACAATTCAGTGAGATCTTTCAGACACTTCAAGGATTGCCACCACCAAGAGACCAAGAACACACCATCACTTTGAGGGAGAGTGTGTCACTAATTAGTGTCAGGCCATACTGTTATCCTCAAAGTCAAAAGGATGAGATTAAGAAGCTGATCAAAGAGATATTGGAGGTAGATATCATCAGGCCTAGTGTGAGCCCTTTTTTTATCCTAGTCTTACTGGTCAAGAAGGATGGGAGCTGGAGATTATTTGTTGACTATCGGGTCTTAAATTAGAAGATTGTGCCATACAAGTTTCCCATTCTGATGATAAATGAGCTGCTGGATGAGCTGTGTAGAGCAGTGGTGTTTATAAAGATATACTTGAAGTTTGGCTATCATTAGATTAGGATGAGAGAGAAGGATATTCCAAAGAATGCATTTAAGACTCATGAGGGACACTATGAGTTCCTGGTGATGCATTTTAGCCTCACCAATGTGCCCGCTACATTCTAGTCCCTCACAAACAGGGTGTTCTACCCATATTTAAGTAGATTCGTATTGGTTTTCATTGATGGCATCTTGGTTTACTGCAGTTCAGATGATGACCATTTAGAGCACTTGAGGGTGGTCTTAGAAGTGTTACAGAAGCACCAGCTTAGGGCCAACCCGAAAAAATATTGTTTTGCACAGGCTAGCAAGGAGTACTTGGGGCACATGATATCTCAAAAGGGGGTGGTTATTGACAGGCCAAGATTCAACAGCCAAGATTGAGGCAATGCTGAAATGGCCTCTACCTAAGAATTTGAGGGAGCTGAGGGGTTTCCTAGAATTCATTGAATACTACAGGAGATATATGATGGGATACAACACCATAGCCTAGCCATTGAAAGAGTAGCTGAAGAAGGATAGTTTCTTATAGGGAGAGGTGTCTACTTAGGCCTTTGAGAGATTAAAGAAGACCATAACCACAGTACCAGTCCGGGACCTACCAGATTTTAGTCAGATTTTTGTGGTACTGATGCGTCAAGGTATGGATTAGGGGTAGTGCTCATGCAAAATCAAAGGCTCATAGCTTACTTCAGATTCATGTTTATAACTAAAACCAAGCTGAAGTCTGTCTACAATAAGGAGTTGATGGCAATAGTGTTAGCTATTCATAAATGGTGGCCTTACTTATTTGGTCGACATTTCATCGTCAGTACCAAAGAAGCTTGAAGTACCTGTTAGAGCAAAATGGTTACCGAGGTGTATTAGGGTAGCTTCCAAAGTTGTTGGGCTACAACTTTGAGAACCAATATAGGTCAGGGTTAGAGAACAAGGTGGCGAATGCCTTATCCAGGTGTGTGGGAGAGCTCATAGAGTTAGCCATATATATACCATTGATGTTGGATTGGGGGGCTATTAAAGAGGAGAGTGTGTAGGATATGTAGTTGAGGAGGATCAGAGCAAATCTACTGAATGATGAGAATAGCCAACTTGGTTATTCCCTAGAGGGGGAGAGACTACTATACCATGGGAGGTTTGTGTTGCCTCTGACTTCAGTCCATATTCACATCCACTGTAGGAGTTTCAAGGGAGCTTTGTGGGGGGTTATTCTGGTGTGCAGAAGATATATAGGAGATTGGCGGCAGAGTTGTATTGGAAGGGGATGCACAAAGATGTGGAAGGGATAGTGGCAAGATGTGAGGTATGCTAGTGGAACAAGTACATGGCCATGGCTCTAGAGGGATTACTTCAACCTCTTATTCTACCAAACAAGGTGTGGGAGGAGGTCATCCTAGACTTTATAAATGCATTTCCTTAATCTGAGGGTTTACAGTGATTCTAGTGGTAATTGACAGGTTGAGCAAGTATAGCCACTTCATTCCCCTACAACATCCCTATATGATAGTGACAGTGGCAGCGACATTCATCAGGGAGCTGGTTAAACTACATGAGATACCAGAATCTATAGTGTCCAACCGTGATAATGTATTCCTTAGTTACTTTTGGAGTGAGTTATTCAGGTTGCAGGGGATAGTACTGAAGAGGAGCACCACTTACCACCCTTGGACAGATGAGTAAATGGAGGCGGTTAATAGGAACTTGGAGACTCCTATGATGTTTCGCTTCAGAGACACCTCAATTTTGGGCCAAGTGGCTATCATGGGCAGAGTACTGGTATAGCACTTTGAATCTTTCGATGTCCCAGATGGCTCTTTTTAAAGTGTTGTATGGAAGGGATCCACCTCACCTAGTGCAATATGGACAAAGTAGCACACTAGTTTTTTTGTGGAATAATACTTGAAGGAGTGAGGATAAGGTGTTGGAGGAATTAAAAAGGTATCTACTGAGGGCTCAACAGATCATGAAGAAGCAGAAGAATAGTCATAGGAAGGACATCTGGTTTGAGGTTGGAGAGAGGGTATATTTGAAGTTTTTTCCATAGAGATAGGGGATAGTAGCAAACAGAAGAAAGGAAAAGCTGGCATCAAGGTACTTTGTCCCGTATGAGATATTGGAGAGGATTGAAGTTGTGGCTTATCGATTGAGGTTACCCCGACCATTGCAATACACCCAATATTCCACATCTCCTAGTTGAGAAGAGCTATTGAGGATCATGCAGCTATTTCTGAGTTATCAGTAACACTGACAAAGGATCTAGAGATGGTGTTAGAACCACTAGAGTTGAAAGGAGTTCGACCGGGGCGAAGGAAGGATCAAGGAAGTGCTGATCAAATGGAAGAACCTACCTGACTGTGATGCCACTTGGGAGTCAAACGAGAGGGTGAAGAATTAGTTTTCATCTTTCCACCTTGAGGACAAGGTGGGTCTTAGAGGAGGCAGGGGGGGGGGGGGGGGTGGCGCATTATTGAACCGAGGTGGCGCATTATTGAACCGATCCATATGAGACCTGCCCAAGTCTATTGGAGGCGGAACAGGAGTTCCACCCTCGTGACTGCTGCTCCCCTCTGTAATCATTTGAATTGATGTTTTTAATGCGATTTAGGAAGGAAATTTCGAGGGGGGTGAGGGGGGCTGTTTTGGGATTTCCTTTTGGATTGTATGCTTTAAGGGGGAAATTTCTGAGGGTTAGGGATCATTTGTTTCACTGAAATTTGAGTTTTCTTAGGATGTTTGGGCTCTAGTAGACGACTAGAGATTTGGGAGAGCCGGATCCTCCTCTCTAATTGAGGGTTCTATTGTATTCTTGCTATTCTTTGCATCTTCTTTCAATAAAAATGATTTGTGAGCATTCTTCTTCTCAATTTCTTGTGTTTCGTCTGCTGATTTTGCGTGATGTGCTTCTATTTCCTAGCAAATTTGCATCTATTTCCTAACATCTTGCCTTACAAATAAGCCTCTGGTTAGGGGCAATCTCTTTTTATTGGATATGATGAAAAATATACTCATTCTTGATGAGTTTGTGTAAAGAATTTGCCCACACAGGTCTTCGCCCTGTCGCCCTTAGAAAACTTGCTTTCCCATAGCAGTTTTCTACAATCAAGTTCATTTGCTTCTCTAAAATATAAAAAAGTTATAGTAACCCCCCCTCCCACCTACCCACCCAAAAAAAAAAATCAAAACTATCAACTCTAGACTAATGGTAGCATTAAATCATTACTATTGTAAGCAAGGGATTTAGAGCACCGATAAGAATCCTCAAACCTATTTACAAAATTATCATAAAATAATGATTTAATGCTAGAGAAATAGAAGCACTTCACGCAAAATCAGGGGGTAATTAACTGATTCTTGCACCGATAAGAATCCTCAAACCTATTTACAAAATTATCATAAAATAAAGGTAAACTCTCTGTATGGTATTTTATCTGATATATAATTTGACTTTCTAAAATCTTTACTCGTAAAAGAGTTGAGCATGAATTTTTAGAGCCCACAAAATTGTCTTGAATGATGTAGAACAATGTAGGGTATTTAAGAGTTTTTATTGCAAATCTAACCTGTAATGTAGACATCAATGCAACAAATACATGCAGTAATTTATAAGACAGCCATTAATCTAGTGCATCCATGTATTACTTTTGCTGGAAATTAAAAATATGATAGTTCAATTCAGATGAAAGATCTATGGCATTCTACTAGAAATAATGACTAGAAAATAAAGTTCAAAAGAGTCGGCACACAACCAAAATTTCAAGCAACTAAAAGAAATTCAAATTATTGCAAATCTAACTTACACAATTATCACCTTCAATAGTAAAAAATGTAGGAAATAATGAAGGAAAAAAAAATGATAAGCAAGCCCATACTTGTATGAGGGGATAGTCTCTCAAATTCCAAATCTCACACTTGATTGATGAGTTGAAACCCAAAAGAAGGATTTGCACATCCCAAGCGAAATTTTATACGTAACAGAATAATTTTCTTACATGCCTTATATCCCTATTTTTAATTATGAAGTAAAACTCAAAAAGCGGACCATTGAAAGAAGGAACCGACTTTAACAATAAAGAATTTTAGGAAGACACTAAAATAGCTGCAGGCCTGCTGAAAAAGCCGCAACTGAAAAAAAAAATTCCATTTGAAGGAAGCCACAAGGAACACAAGCGCTAGTTACATTTTGCATGCACACAAAGACGCCAGCATCACCCGGAAGGGTAAGATTCTCTTACAATGATTTTTTTGTTCATCTTCTGTAGGTTTTTGATCTTTTTGATGAGAAGAAAAATGGTGTTATTGAGTTTGAAGAGTTCATTCATGCACTAAGCGTCTTCCATCCTTATGCTCCTCTGGAGGACAAAATGAACTGTAAGAACTGGCGGTGAAAAACTTTTTTTTCCTTGTCAATGTGACAAGCTGACCGTCTTAAGTGTGCCTGTTATTATCTTTCTTTTTCTTGCAGTTGCATTCAGATTATATGACTTGAGATCAACAGGTTATATTGAGCGAGAAGAGGTATGTTTCTCAAACGTGTTTTTGATTATTCACATATTTGGTGATTCATCCCTACCCATTGTTTAGCCTGAGTTGTCCAAAATGAAATTACTAAAGCTATTGAACGTTTCTTAGTTTTGTGTTAATCAACCTAAATCTCAAATCTAAATGCATTTATCTGTTAGTATGCTTCATATATGGTAGCCTTTTATCTTCAGTACATTGCTTCTTTTTCAAGCACTGGAGATGCATGTGATTATCATTATTGAAAAAAGCATAGGAGAAGAATGCTATTTTTTTTCTTATTCCATCAAGCGGAAGGGTACTTATTTTACAGGAGATACATAGTTCGATTAATGAGCCTAGAATAAAAAGTACAATCAGAATGGAATCAAGCCATAATCGGCCCTACGAAGGAGAAAAATATGAAAACTCAAAACCAGACCACCAAAGAAACCCAAACCTCCGCTCATGGCCTTGTATGTTATCGGGACTCTTGAGTAAATAGTCTAACTTCTGATAAATTATTCTGTACATGTTACTAAAAATGATATGGCCTCTGCTGCATTATGATGTTCTTCTTCGCTTCTATTCTATAATCCTTTATCGTGCCACAAACAATTGCACGATTTTGCTTTCTGCATATAAAGAATTACAATGTCTCGCCTTTTTGCCTCTTGCAGGTTAAACAGATGGTTGTTGCTATCTTGACAGAGTCTGACTTGAAGCTTCCAGATGAACTTCTTGAAGCCATAATTGATAAGGCCTGCTTCCAATTATATACAATTCATGTCTCGCTCTTTACATTCTGAAATTTCTAATGTTGACTCTACGTTTATGTGCAGACATTTGAAGATGCTGATGCTGATAGGGATGACAAAATTAGCAGAGATGAGTGGAAGGATTTTGTTAGTCGACACCCTTCACTTTTGAAGAATATGACTCTTCCCCATTTGAAGTATGCTTTTCAAGTCTTATCTTTTATTTTAAAGTGTGCTCTAGATTTTCTGGCTTTCTACTTTATATGCTCTTACCCCCCTTAGGTGGTTGTATCACATGCACTGGTTTTCATCCTTAGTTTAGGGTTAATGGCTGACTAGTAATCACTCACATCTCATCAAAATAGAAAATATGTTATCTTGAGTTACTGTACCTATAATAGATATAATTTATGGTTTTGCATCATGTTAAGCTCAAAAGAGAAATTATTTATGATATTCATTGAGAACTAAGATGTTACAACAAAAAAGTCCATTGATTGTGAAAATTTCCCCTTCAGCGAAGAATTCCCATCAAGATAATTCCTCGCATCTGGTTTGGTGTTGATGGATTTTACCCTGATGACCAGTCACATTGACAGTACCATTCACATTTACAGTTAGGTAGCCGGTTTTGTCTTTCTGTGGGGATTGTTTAGGATATAGAAAGCTGAATCTCGCTAATTATTTTTGTCCAAAGTCCTTTCTAGGCTTAATCTTTTTGCTTGTAATCCTTCTTGCATATGAAAATCAAGTCTAAGGCCACGTTTGGCCGTGTTGTTTAATGCTGTGCTGTACCTGTATTTGTCAAATGAGGCGGATGATTATTGATGAAAACTGCTGTTAAGGTTGCTTTTTGAACTGAAATTCCATGAATTGATTTAATAACCAAGTGAATATGATTGATTATTAATAAATAACATCAATTATATTTGTTGTAAAGCAATCAAAACTTGAATACTGATTAATATTAGAGTAATTTATACGTAATAATTAGCAATTTTTAAATTAAGAAAGAAATTTTATTCCATACGTCCATCAGAAGTAGCTAACATGATAATTGAAAATAGAATGTAGAATAGTTGTTTTTTTCCTATGATTAAAATAGAGAAGGGGTACTTTTGTCTTAAGAAAATTTAACACTGTTTTGAATAAAATTAATTTTTTTAGAAAGCGTTCTTGTATAGCTTTTCAAAACCCCCATTTTTTAGCTTTGTACAGTTGGATTTTTCCACATAGAAGTTGTGATTTCTACCGAACCCTTACAAAGTTGCTTTTGCTATCTTAAAACTCATCATGAATTAATAGAAAACATTGCTAAACGAGACTTGATAACTAGCTAAATATTCCAAGACAAGTTTCCAAACTACCAATCTATTAATCGTAAATAAAAATGACTTCAAATAAGAATGTCATTCAAGGTTTATAGATCATTTGCATGGTTCTATTATCATGAAATTTTAATCTGATTGCAGAACAAATCTCAAGTTGAATGACAGTTTCTTTACTATATTTCATGAAATCAACCAGCACCCAGACTAACTCATAAAATTAGTTTTTTTTTTCCCTTTATTTGCCCTGTTATCCTTAAATTTTATATTACATCAACATTTTGGATGTTTAACGCAGCACTGCACCTTATGAAGTTCCCATTAATATTGTTATTCATCTGCATGCAACTAGTTAAGGACTACATCCAGTTCTTTCTCGCTGTAATTTTTGATTTCTTCTAATCCTGTTGTTTTTATTTTTGTTGTTACTTATATTTTCCTTTATAAGATTCATTCCAAGATAAATTTTCCAGCTGATGTTTCAGGAAACAACAAAATGGATGAGATAGGCCACAAGTAATTTGATTGTGGAAATTCTGTCATTCAGAATACTGAATAAGCATTAAAATGTTAATAATATACTCTAAAGGATAATATCTGTTCATTACTTCCAGGGACTTGACAAAAGCATTCCCAAGTTTTGTGTTCAACACTGAAGTTGAGGATTAGGAAACATTGACAGTTTAGCTAAAACTATGGAGCTTCAGAAGTGATCCTCTGTTTGTACAAAATGTGCCAAGTGCTCTGTAATTATGAATTTAAAACTCTTTGGAAATGTCAGTAAATGTATCATTTTCCTCCATTGCTCTATTTTTTGTCATTAATGTTATCATATGCGATATGTATTGTATAATATAGTATAGTAATAGTATATTATGGTTATAGTATAGTTGTAGTATAACTAAGTATAGTAATTGTAAAAAAAAAAAAAAAAAAAGTATAGTAATTGTATAATATGGTTATAGTATACTTTAGTTTAGTATAGTATAGTGTAATATGATATAATACATTTACATTATAGTATTCTATTGTATTGTTATAGTATAGTGTAGTTGTAGTATAATAGAGTAAAGTTATTGTATATTTGTACTGGAGTGTAATATAAATGTAGTATAGTTTTAGTGTATATAGTTTTAGTATAATATAATATAGTATAATTTTAGTATAGTATAGTTGTAAGATAATATAAATATAGTATAGTATAATATAGTTTAGCATAATTATAGTATAGTATAGTATAGTATGGTATAGTATATGTATTATATAGTATTGTTATAATATAGTTGTGGTATTGTATAGTCTAGTATTAGTATTAGTATAGTTATATTATAGTTTCGTTGTAAGATTTATGAACCTTTTTGAGAGAGTATTCTTCTTTAGAAGGCATCCCTTGAGTTTGCCGTCTATGAGTACATCTAACCACCATTTTACAGAGAAATTTCTCACTAAACATTTTAAGTTTAATGAGTCTTGATTAACTTCGACATTCCAAGTCCATATCCATGAAATTTGCCCTTGAGCGAAGAAATAAAATTATTTCATTCCTATAATATCTTCAGGCGCAAATTTTTGAAGATGTGGCGAGGTGTCTACCCATTGGGTATAAATTTGTTGAATTGTTGGTGGGAGAATGGTATAGTAGTAGCACCTTTATGTTACCACCATTAATAAAACCAATGAGGAACTAGATTCTCTATTATTTATGGATTTAGAATAAAATAAACATCCAGGAATGGTTCTTTTGAGCATAGAATAAGTATAAAAATGGATTTATAATGGTATAGTAGCACCTTTATGTTACCACCATTAAAAAAATTTCTTTGGAAATTCTTGATGTTGAGCCTTTTTAGTCTGTTTGAATGGCGCGCGCTCGTGGCTTTTCACAAGGCCATCCTCGTCCTCTAGTAGGTGGTATTGCCTCCTTACCTTCTATTAATAGGAGTGTCCTAGAAATCTTATTTCGGTTTGAAATAATTTAATTTTAGGTTCATATATGACTAAACCATTTTTCTATGCAAGCCCTTTAAAAGTTTTTAAATGCTTGAAATGTTCTTCTATATTTTTAGAAAATATAATAACGTCATCAATACATGCATTGATATATTTATTATATGTATTAAATAATTCATTCATTATATTCTAAAATTCATAATGTGCGTTCTTTAAGCCAAATGGCGTAACATTCCATTTGTATTGTCCACATGAGATAGTAAAAGCTGTTTTATAACGGTATTCTTTGACGATCTGGATCTTTTAGTATCTTGATTTTAAATCAAATTTAGAAAATAAATTAGCACTTGCTAGTATATCAAGCAAATCCCTTTTATTGGGAATAGGATAACGAATCCATTTAAGGCCTTTATTAAGGGATTCGTAATTTATTACTAATCATGATTTTTCTCTTGCTTGCTTTGTAGCATTCATAACATAGAATGTTGTACTGCTCCAAGGCGAGCTAGATTTTCTAATGATCTTCTTTTGAAGTAAATCATTCATTTCTTTTTGACAAAGATTTATAAAATCTTTATTCATTTGAGAATTACGTGCCTTCGTAGGTATTTGCATTTCATCAAATCTCTCAATATAAGGTAATTTGACACAATGAATTTTTTTGTTCCAAAAACTAATAGGATTGTCTCCACAAATTTGAGCTTTTATTTCGAGATAGTAATCAGAAATCTTCTTTTGGGTTTCTGGAAGTTGAATTTTTAATTTAATTCCTTTAGTAGTAATTTCCTAGTGAAGGAAATTGATATGTCATTGTTTTTTATTTAATTTATCCATCTCATTGAGAATTATCTCTTTTGAATTTGAGATGAAATCGAATTTGATCGGGTGATCAAAATAACAAGATACCATCCCTGAATGATGAGAAGATATCTACATAATTTTATATAAAAGTGCAGTGCCCAATATAACATGTTGGGACAAATTTTTCACTAGTAGAAAAGGTGTATCTATGTAGTATGCTTGTTGACAAATTTTTATTTGGTCAGGTGACCTGACGTAGCTCTACATTCGGACGGTAGTAAAATAGTACTACGTGTTCTTATTCTTTACCACGCGGCCCGTCAACTAGACCCGGAACGGACCCGGGATTGCTATGTTCGCGTATTGCTCGGTATTGCTAGGTATTGGTCGATTTTACTCGGCAATAACGAGAAATACCATTATGTGAAGACCAATACCTAGCAATACCGAGTTTTGCTAGATATTGCACGGTATTGGTCTTGACAGAGCGGTATTTCTCATTATTGCCAAGCAATACCGAGCAATACGCGAACATAGCAATCCCGGGTTCCGGTCTAGGTCGGGTCGTCGGGCCGCACGATAAAGAGTAAGAGCACGTGACGACATGTTATTGGTATCCGAACGTAGAGCTACGTCATGTCACCTGACCTAATAATTGTTCGTTTGTTGACATACTGCCACCTTGGATAATTTGTATTTTATCTCCATATTGTTACCATTAGCTGAAGTTAGCTTTTACATGATTTTTTCAAAGAATTACGAAGGAACTATGCCTTCTTTTATAGAGTCCATATATGTTCCACTATCTACCAAAACAGTAAAATTAGTGATCACATAAATTTTATGGATTACTTATATAAGGCATATAAAGTCAAATTTCTCTAGCCTTAATTTTAACTACTATGATAAATCTCATTTCACTTGAGATCTTCAGCATCCGAAACACTATTTTTCTTATGTTGGCCTTCTTCCTTTTCTAATGGCTATATGAATACAATGCATTTTTTATGATTCTAATCCTATAAATTAATAATAGATAATGCTTTATTAAATAACTACACATTTTTAGTAGGGCCGCAAATGAACCGAGCCGAGTCGAGTATGTGAGTGTTCATGTTTGTGTTCATTTAATGTCAGCTTGTTCAAGTTTGGTTCATGTTTGTTCGAGCTTTATTGTTTGTGTTCATGTTTGGTTCGTTTAAATTAATGAGTGTTCATGTTCGGTTCATGTTCAGTTCATGTTCGTTCGTTTAGTGCTTATCGAGTTTGTTCGCGAACATATTTAACGAATTTTTTTTAACTATCAAACAAACATGTTCATGAACATATCTATGAAAAAACACATTTATAATAAAAGCAATTGTTTATGTAACAAAGACAATGATATAAGTGAATGACAGGTGTCTTAACAATTATGTGCCAAAAAAATTGAGTCAGTAAAGTGTGTGTTTAACATCTTAATGTTGTACAAAAAATTAGCACTCATAGATAAAAATAGTAGGATTAGAAATTCATGAATAATTCAAAAAGGAAAAAACCATGGGGCCCGGCTCAGATGAAAAATCCACTATATATTAGAGGATATAAATCTTTCTTTCTTTACCCTTAGAGATAGGATACGAAATGAGCATATACGTGAAAAGGTTGGAGTAGCTCCAGTTGAAGATAAGATTAGAGAGAGTCGCCTTAGATGGTTTGGTCACATAAAAAGGCGGCCTTCCGACGACCCAGTTAAGAGAGTATAGGTATTAGATTTGACTTGTGTTAAGAAAGGTAGGGGTAGACCTAAAAAGACTTGGTTAGAAAATATTAGGAATGACCTTTCTTTATTAGATTTAAACGAGAATTTGGCTTTTAATAGGACACAATGGAGAAAAAGGATTCATATAGCCGACCCCACGTAGTGGGATAAAGGCTTGATGTTGTTGTTGTTGTATATTTTTAAATAATTTTTTTATTTAAAATAAATCAATTTATTTAAAAATAATTATAAAAAATAAACATTTTAAATATTTTTTATAATATTATCATCACCTACCTAATCACTATCATCAATCACCACCATCATATAAATTATCTCATATTCAATAAAAATAAAAATACCTTTTAATTTAATATCAAAACCAAACAATCAAACAAAAAAACTAAAAACAAAAAGCAAAAATGATTCCAAACCACCTCTTAATTATCAATAAAATTAAAAAAAAAAAAAACTACAAAAGACCCCAACCTATTGCTCGTAGAAACATAAAAGCAACTTGAAAAGAAACCTTTTAACATTAAAAACGACAAGCCACAGATTATGCACCCACTTTTGGTTTAGTTGATACGCATAATCAGCAAATATGCATAGTACAAAACAAGTAATTGAAAGAAACTTTCTTGGGTACGCCTTTACAACAACACTAAATTGATGTAGCTAGCACCTTTATGGCTCACATTACTAAACGTTCTGTTAAAACAGATTCACACACACATTGCATACTCAAATTCAAGATCTCTTAATTAATAACCTAAACTCTCAATCAACAGATCAAAATGAGATGTATAAAAATGCCCTGTTGTGTTTGTTTTCTACACAAATAATGAAACACCAGGGAGGGAGAGAGAGAGACGCACATAAGAGTAATGATTCCGTCATGTTACCAAATACATTCGGAAACCAATAACAAAACGCCACGTCACTAAAGTGCTCGGTACAGGCGCTCGGTACACTCTGTATGCTCGGTATTTTTACCGGACGCAATAAAAATTCCATTATGTGACTCTAAAGGTAGCATTAAGTTGCCTTCATGTAGCATCCCAAAACCGCTTAATAATTAACAATGCACTGTTTACTGTGGTTTTGTTTAAAAAAAAAAACAGTCCAAACTGGTATTTATTTCTAGTTAAATAGGGCATTACTCACTATATTCTCATCACAAGCTACAATTTCTTTCCAACAGGGCATACAAACACTATATCTACCACAGCAGGATCATGATGAGTATTTAGAAGGTATTCTAACTCCAGCTGGGTTAGAGAAGCTCAAATGCAAGAGTAAAACACACACACTATAACAGAACAGAAATGTCTTAGCACTCGATAAAATTTCATGATGCATAAATTACAAAACACAATACCAGAGATAAAAACTACAAAGCTTGCAATTTCTTTTAAGGCAACAAAGAAAACAGTCTCAGCTACAGGTTCTTCAGTGAAACACTAGTACTTACTACAATGACATTGTTACATCGAAGCCTAGTATGGATTGTAGCGGCGTCCCCGGCTGTTGTCATTTCCTTTACGGCTACTGCCAGATTTACTGCCGCCGCGAGATGGCGGAGTTATTGGCACTCCAGGTTGTTGCCTGCAGAGCATTCAAGAAAGAGACATTTTAAGTCTTGCAAATACTACATTTTTGCTGCAAATGAACGCTCAATTTGTGAATCAATTACTTACACAACATAAGCAATGCGCCCATCAGGTAACATTATGGGCACCATTGCGGTGCCTGCAGCATGTCTGTTTCCATATAACATGGTCTGCAAACCGCAGTGGATTATTACAACAAACAATATATACATATGGAGAGAGAGAGAGAGAGAGAGAGAGAGAGAGAATAAACTAAAGGAAAAGGGAAAGAAGTCATACCGGTGTAAAACCTGGAGAAAGAGGACCATAAGCGCCTCCCATGATTCCATATCCAACACGACCAGCAGCATAATTTGGAAGGAGAGCACCTTTATGTGAACCGGATCCAGACTCCGCCTTCTTATCAGCTGGTGGTTTTGCGAGGGAACACTCGAGAATTTCACCATTAATTTCATATCTCTCGGTGTTTTTAAGTGCCTTCATGGCGGATGATCTTTCTGCGAAATGAACAAAGCCAAATCTCTTTTCCTGCCCAGACTTTGCAGGAGGCAATACGACCTTTGAAATTTCCCCATGGTGTTCGAATAGCTTCTTCAACTGATCTTGGCTAACATCCTTGGGTAAATTTTTAACATAAACTGACTTTATCTGCAAATAATAAAGAGCATCAGTAAATAAACTGTGAACAAAAGACCTAGACTGGAAACAAAGAAGATTAAGATGAGTAAATTTTAATACTTGAGAAGATGAATCTCCACTTTTAGGATCAGCCCAGCTTACAGTAGGGGCATTAGAATCTAATTTGAACTTTGGAACTGCCATTTTTTTCCTTGCATATTCAGCACAAGCATGATTGTAGAACTCAATAAAAGCGAATCCTCGGTTGCGGCTAGAATTTTGTGGATCCTAAATGTTAAGATAAGACACTTTAACTTTAGAAAGATTCTCAACTTGGGAATACAGAATCAGCGTGAACACTAAATTTGGTATCAATGAAGGTTGCATTATCAAGACAATTAGAAGTAACTAAGTCAACAAACAAAATAACAAAAACAACAATGCAAAGCAAAATAAGGGAATTCAATTTTAGGCAAGAATAATGTGACTATGAGACAATCTTAATAAATTTTCAAATTGAATCAATTATTTAAAAGATCTATTTGAATGCTACAATATACCAAAGAGTTGAATGCGTTAAATTAAAACGGGTAGATCAGGTTTAAATCTTTTGATAAATTGTTGCCACTAAATCTATATGTGCTGATATAAAATATAAATTTAAATAGCAATGTGTGCAACTCAAAATATATAAGAAATGAGGAACCAATTGGAGGATCAATTTAAGATTTGCAAGCAAGTAGATTATTATGTTCGAGGTGATTTTTGTGTTTTTGAATACTGTACAAGATTTAAGTTTTGTAGCTGAAATTATTTACCTCTAGACTGTTGTGTTATCATTTTTTTCTTTCATTAAAGATCTTAACAAGAAATTAGAGATGAATTAAACTAAATTTCACCAAAAATAGAATATGAAGCTTTATATGAAACTTTAGATGTTGAGGAATGTTACACTTGTTCTAATACACGTGTTTACAATCCCTAAAAAAATTCATTATCATCTCCTCCACAGGTTATCAGACACACCAACTCAAAAAACATGTATAGTTTTTTTTTTTTTTTAATAAATTAAAAAAAAATCATGTATACTTGATGAATTTTCCTTCTAGAATATAGTAGATGCAGCAGTTGTATTTACAATATAAATCTACATTTAATATTGTTGAACCTAAATTGCACATATATTAGGTCATGTTTATGAGCCTAAATCTATACTTAATAGGAGCCAACATTTAAGTCTAAATGCAAAATTGAGACTAAAATCATACTTGAATCAAAATTAATCTTAAATTGACATTAAATACGAACCTGAACTTCTGATAAAAATGAAATATATTTTTGAGCGTGAATAGACTAAATAATGACTATTATAGATTAATCAATTGAACAGCCTAAACCAAATAATGAATATTATAGATTAATCAATTGAACAACCAGATAACACAACCTCTGATCAAGTATCTATTTAATTTATTGCAATCTTTTATTACTTATTTCTTGATTCACCTGCTCATAAGTCATAAATAAGAACCTTAAGGAGAGTGAAATTAGATCACTTCACTTCAATTCATATTTCTAAAAACCTTATAATTAGATCCTTAAGTTTGATTATACATTTCAAATTGGTTCTTTGATGCAGATCTACTAGGAATCAATCAAATTTAAAAAATGTCGATAAGTCAGGCAACTTAGTTGAGACGAACAGATAAACCATGGATAATTATCCATTATTCACTTTTCATTTATCATTTCCAACGAACATGTGGTTTTCACAGCAAATGGGAAAACAAAAGGCAAAAAAGTTTATGAAAAAAGCCAGGTTTCGCAGCAGATAGGCATAAGTTCTAACCATTAGCTTCTATACTGTGCTTCTGTCTTTAGTTTTCCATGCGCTTTTTTTCCAAATTTCTTGACAATTTATCTTGACTCTATCTAGGGTTTTTATAATATTTTTACACAATAGTCTCTATTTTTCCCCCTAATTAGCTTATTTATTAATAACTCTTGGGTTTACATCGCTTTGAATAAGGAGAAATGCGACCTCATAAAGGAAAATGGTATTTTCATCACATGAAACATTTAACGTTCAATAAAATGTCCCACCTATGATCATGCGAACCTACTTAATCACTATTTTTACCTATGTTAATAAACAAGTCAGGTGCCACTTTGAAGACAAACAACTAAAATGATGGACCTAGGTGAAATTTGAAAAGGAACTAAGGGCCCCCTTATGGAATTTTTAAAAATGTTCACCAATGTGAGGCGACCGTTGATCTCAAGAACATGGGTGTCAGGATTTTTAAACAAATGTAACCACCGTGGGGTCCTTTGATCTCAAGAACACGTATGTAATTGACATATTATAAATTATTATACAAAGGAAAATTAACCATAAACAGGACAAATTTTATAAAAGCATAATGAGAAATTTTAATACTAAACCATAGTTTTGAGAAGCAAAATATCTTGCCTTCATCAAGTCCACACTAGTAACTCCCGGGCCAATCTCCAGCACAGCCTTCTTTAAATCATCCTCAGACCAGCTTCTGGGAATATTACCTAAAAACAGCCTATGTTTTGCTTGAGACGCAGAACATTTGATCCTCTTGCCCTGAGAAAGTCCATAGCATAATACTTGTAAGTTTCACAAGAACCAAAGATACCTAAAGTAACTACCAAGAGTGGCACGGAACTTTCAATTGTAGTAACTACACAAGTATTAGGTAGGACGCCAATCCCAAGTAGCACACTATAATTTAATCGTGCTGTGATGAAAAATAAATAAAAGTTGCCTCAAAGGAATCCACACGCGGTGTTCCATAACTTAATCCAATTGAAGTAAAAGTAAGCAAGGATTGACTATGCTAAAGTAAAATTAGATGAGATACATCCAATTTTAGAGCATTGAATGAGAAGATAAGGAAATGCTACCCACCATGACTAGAAGAAAGGTAAATATTGCTTTTTTGCAATAAATTAATTGATTAAATGGAAGGTTGAAAAAGCAAATGGAATTTAGAAAGGTTAGAAATAATTGTATGCTGGGAAAATTAACAATAAATTAGGTTGAGATGATAGTGGATGGATTTGAAAAATAAATTTATTAAGATGAACAAGGAGAGTGACAGAACAATTGCAATCAAGCTAATTATTGAAAGTGATCTTATAAATTTGGTTAATATTTATGCTAAACTTGGATAAGAAGATCATTTTTAAAATTAATTTGGCAAGAGATAGATAAATACAACATTACCTACGAAAGAAGAAAAAAATAACTAAGGTGACTTAATATACATATATAGTTTCAGCGTGATAAGCTACAAGAGGATTTTCAATGACTATGTAATAAAGATGAAAATAAAATGAGAGATGTACTTGAATTCATATTAGCCTATAATATTGCAATAGCAAACGCATGAAATAAAAAGAGCACCTAATTACTTACAAAATTGGAGTCACCAATCAAAAATATACTTATTTAATAGATAGTAGAAAATAGTCAAAAATACAAATATTTTTCCAATGATTGAAAGTTAATTTCAAAAGATAGTTCAACCAGACAATATAATGACAATTTTCAATTTTTATTTTAGGAGTAAAAGAAAAAGATCAAAATAATAAGCCTAAGATTACATGACCAAATTTGAAAGGTAAGAAGTTGTTAATCTTCTAGAAAAGTTGTTAATATTCTAGAAACTATGCATTGTCGCCCACTTAACCAATCTTCTCAAAAAAGGCTCCTTTCAATGATTTTCACAATATAAAACTAGCAATATAATTATGCATCTGCCTCGAGAGTTTTTCACAATATAAAACGAGCAATGACAACAGCCACCGTTTTAACCTTACCCGATTTCTCAAAACCATGTATTATTGAAACCAATGCTTCAAACATCAGTATGGGAGCTATTTTGTTATAAAATAATCAACCCATCTCTTTTTTAAGTAAGAAATTGAGTACTAAATTATCATGATGTTATTAACGAAGTTGTTTGTAAGTGGCAGCAATATTTATTTTACTCAATTTGATATTTGCACGGATCATAAAAGTCTGCGTGAACTCCAAAAACAAATCATTCAAACCCCTGGCAACCAATATTATCTTGGTAAACTTTTAGGTTTTAATTTCCGTATTGAATATAAACCCGACAAAATAAATACAGTTGCCGATTCTCTATGAAGATTGCCAAAGGGCAGGGAGTCCCTTCATTCCTCTCTACTCTCTTTTTTCTTTACTCGCCCATTTCTCTTCTTTCTTTATAATTATTTTAAAACAGGAAGCTTTTCTCCAAATATCCTTCACATAACCTCTCAACTAGCCAACGGTGAACTCTCTCACACAAATTATCAATTCAGGGACAATATCTTATATTATCAAGGCCTTATTTATATCAGTAAAAATTCTTCACTCAAAAATAAAATTCTCAATGAATTCCATTCGGCACCTCTTGCAAGCTTGGGTATTCTCAAAATCATCAATTGAATCTCAACATACTTTTATTGGCCTAGCCTCCGCAAAGATGTTTTTTTGACTTCCTTAGCAAATGTCTTATTTGTCAAGAAATCAAAACCTTTACCTGCCTCATGCCAGCCTCCTATCTCCATTAACATTACCCTTACAACTTTGGGAAAATTTGTCTATGAACTTCATTACCGAACTACCAAATTCAAAAGGTTTTAATGCTATTCAAGTTGTAGATGATAGTTTACCAAAATATACCCATTATAAACATTTACCTACAACTTATTCAGCCTATCAAGTTGTCGAACAATTTGCCAGTATGGTTATTCGATTGTATGATTTTTCAAAAACTATCATTGTTTAGTCTGATAAAGACAACATTTTTAAGTAATTTATGGCATCATTTTACTTTAAGTTGCATTACACTTGATTTTAACACTGTATATCATCCTCAAACAGAGGTCCTTAAAATAATATTAGAACAATATATTCAAACTGAAATTTCCACCAATCCATAATTGTGGTTTACATTTCAATGTTGAGCCAAATTATGTTATAATGCATCCTTCCATCCAGCTATTCTAAATGACCACATATCAAGCTCTATACAGTCGTCTACCACCACCAATTCTAGCATATATCCATAGTACTTCTGACATTGACAACGTCAATACTCTATTAACATATTGTGATACTCTTTTACAAACCCTTACGCAAAATATGCCACAAGCCAAACACAGCATGAAAATGATTGCAGATCGTTATTGTCGAAATTTATAATTTCAATAAGAGGTCTAGTTATGGTCAAATTCCAACCTTTTTGCAAATCGCACACTTTAAATTGGACAAACGTTATTTTCGACATTTTCCAATTCAAGCTATTATCAGTCTCATGGACTACCAACTCACCCTTCCTTCTAAAGGTAAAATTCACCCAGTCTTCCATAATTTAGTTCTCAAACCATTTAAAGGTGATCATCCACTTCCACCACAACTCTACATGCTTTCATCCACAACAATCAACCACTCCTACCGCATACAATTTTAGCCTCTCACATTATACAACTTCATGGTCAGCCTCACCACCATGTACTCTTGAAATGAAACTCAATATGCTAGATATGCCACATGATAAAATTTTTCGACAAACTCTACTTCTTTTCCATCTCTCAACTTTGAGGACAATATTATTTTTCATGGTAATGAGAGTATTAAGCATAACAGGTTAAAGACAACAAAATGATTATTAAAGTCTATCATAGAAAAGGAAGAAGACAACCTGTGAATCAGACAGCCGAGCGCAAGCATATAATAAGAAACCAACCTACAGTTATATAGTACCACGCAACTTGGAATGCTTTTTAAATGTGCTTCTCCGTTAGAAAACTCCATTTTCTGAACTAATGTTTTTTAAAACTGTGTTTTACAAAAGCACAAAAAAAACAAACGAAGCCTTAGCCAATCTAAACCTTCGGCCCACTTAGACTAGGCCAAATCAACTTGTACACATTAGTTTTTTTAATTCTTCAGCAACCTGTCCAACATGGCATAAAACCCAATTAAACCGGTTCATCTGTCTTATAACTAAGCCCAAAATTGTTGTAATTCAGATCAAGGAATAAAATTTCTCCTTCTTTCTTGTCTTCTCTTTTCTTTTCTTTTATTTTATTTTGGAGTTTACACCTACTCTAAAGGTGTCTTTCTATTTTTATCTATCCAAGAACCTTATAATAAGTTGATAAGAGATTTAAAAAATGAGATTCTTATAAAGTCATACCTAATATGAGATAAGATATATAATTCTATTAAGAAGAATGTCATATAAATTTTAAGATAGTAAAAATTAATTATATAGTACTAAGGAGACTTGGTGGCGAATTGAGCAGGTATAAAAGATCATAATGGAAAATAAATGGGATTTTAAAATTGGCAAAAGGTAAGCATTATTGAGACTTATGATGACCTTAAAAAAACTAAAAATCTTATAAAGATGATGGTGCGCAAAACAAAGAATCACAACTTTTGATTAATTGTATAATAAGGTCAGTGTTAAGAAAAGAGAAAGAAAAATATTAAAAATTTAAATAATAGAAAGATAATAGATATTGATAAAGTAGATGCATTAGATGCAAAGATATTAAAATATAAATTAAAATTGAAAAAATCAAGAAAAGTCAAAATCATGCTTTGAGAAATTATTAAATGGGAGTTTTCAATAGGAAATGTTTTAAAATGGCATAATGAATAGGATAAAAAGTTGCATTATAAATTGATCTAAGAAAAACGAAGTCAAGTTAACTCTGAAGAGGATACGTAATGGTCAAAAAGAGACATTTATTGGGTTTGAAGAGGTAAGGATGTCATTGCAATGGTTTTAGCCAACAAATACTTCCTATGAAAATTTTGATGATGCCAAATGAGTAAACCAGAAATATTTTGACAATAATATTTAAAAACAAAGAAATGTTCAATATTGAAATAATTGTAGACAAATCAAACCTACGATCATGCAATTAAAGAGTAAGAGTATAGAACATTAGATTAGAAATTTTTTTGTTAATTTCAAATAAAAACTTTGATTTCACGTAAGAAAAATCCATAATGAAAGTAATTTTTATGTCAAGACAATTAATAAAAAAAGTTTACAAAGCAGAGAAAGGATCTTCATATAATTTTTTTTTTTTGCATGATTAATATGATTTTTATAAATCTTGAGAGGCATATAATCGAAAAACAAAACAGTTAATTAGTGTATATTAAGGGAAAAAAAGTTGTTTCAAAAGTATGCTTAAATTATTATTAAAATGTATAATGAAACATTGCCTAGTATTAGCAATGGTGGGGAGTGGCCAAGGAATTTTCAATTACAATAGAATACATAAATGATAAACAATTAGTTCATACTTATTTGTATAAGTCATGAACATGATATTAAAAGTGAGTTGGTATGGCATATGCCTTTTACAATTGACATAATCTAAATAAGTGGGAAGTCAAAATAACAGTTAGAAATGTTTAGAAGATAATACTCAGAACTTGTAAAAATAAAGATTGGTTATATGAGAAGTAATTTTAGTGAAATTAATATTAATATTTATCAGCCAATATTATCAAAAGATAAATTGATAGATATGCAAGATAGAATCAAATATCTTACATCTACTATACAAAAGAATAGGGATATAAATAAAGACATAACACATAGAGATAAAGTGAATCCTACATGTGATAAACTTTAAGTATGCTGAATCTACTATATAGAATAGTAAGAATATAAAAAAGGCATAACATATGAAGTTATGTTTGTATAGCCAAAATACAAGCGTCTCCATGATAGTACTCATTGGAAGGGATATCAAACTTAAAAAGAAAAATTTTTAAAACCCCAATTAAATAGACTACATTATATAAATTTATGTTGGGCTATAAATAGGTAGTTTATAACTAAGAAGCATCATGGAAAATTATTGAGATATATGTGTAGCAAAATTAGAAATGATAGATAGAGAATGATTCTATCAGATGAAAATTTGTAGCAGAATTAATTTACAATAAGATAATTGAAAACATATAAGTGGTTTCAAAATGTAAGAAGAAGGAATGAAAATGCACCCATTAAACAGAAAGACAAAATTAGTGTGAAAGAATTAGAAAAGAAAATGGTTGAAGAATAAGTTTAACACCTCTTACAACGCTCATAGGAATGAATGAAAATTAATGACTCATAAAGAAGGTCCAAATAATTGTGATTTGGGCTAATCATGATGATAATTAGTATTTTTGTGTTAATAATGAATAATTCAATAATTTAATAAATGATAAAGCTTTCAATAAACATGCATCTGCAATTTAAAAAAAAATATTGTTAAATTCTATAAAATATCTTCTAAAATGATATAAATGTTAATACTAGCCCTTAAATGGAGTGTAAATGAAAACTTGTCGACCAAGAGCTATCCAATCTACCTATGACCAGCACTTTGTGACCTCTGCATAGCACCTGGCATATATCATGGGACGCATGTCTTTTTTCCACTTTGCTTATGGACTTGAATTAGAATGGCATATCCTCAGCTCTTTGAAGGAAAAAAACAACAAATGTGTTCAAAGCACTGAAAGATTTAGGCTTCGTTTGCGACAGCTTTTAGGTTGCTTTCTAAAATAGCTTTCTAGTACAAAAATTTCTTGAATTAAAAAAATTTATACTAGAAAGTAATTTAAAAAAGCAGTATGAAAGCTGTCCAAAACGAAGCCTTAGTATCAAACAATTAATGTTTATGGCCACATAGTAGCTGGCATCTCATGGGCTGCATGTCTCTTTTATACTTTGCTTATGAACTTGCATGAGAATGGAAAATCCTCAGCTCTTTGGAGCAGTGAACGGCAAAAATAATCAAACCACTGAAGCATTCAGTATGAAACAATTTACGTTTCTGTGAGTACATAACATTCCAAATAACCCTCAACTGCAATTCTACTAAAAAGAAGCATGAAGCTCGGTAATTCAAAAATATAAGCAATTAATTCTTAGCTTTTTTAATCCAAATTGTTGGTAATTTCTTGAATTTACTAATAAACCATATAAATTAAACTACTTTTTAATATCAACTACATTTTCATTATTCTAGCAAACTTTAGTACAAAAAACAGTAACATGCTCATGTTTTCCACACCTTGTTTGATTTCCATCCAACCTTTCTACATGAAGACATAAAAAAATATGCACAAGTTCAAAACGAGCATATTGCATATGTATAATTAGAAAATGTAGTTTGAATTTTTTAACATTATTTAGCATTGCCAAATTACTAATTGTTTTAAATGTGCTTTAGATGCAAAAGACATGAAAATAATTTATTCATTTTGCATTGTTCAAAAAAATCAAAAGCAAGTTTAATCTTCATAATTCTCAAACAAACTAAAATAATGAATAAGGATAGATAATATTACTTCTAAAAGTACATCATAAGCTTCAAACTGCATGTGGTATATTTTTTAAAAAAATTAACATCATTTAATATTGGCCATTTAATCATTTTTTATAATATACTTTAAACTCAAATATGTCTTTTTTTGGCATTGTTCGAAAACCAAAAGCATCAATGTTTTGATGAGTTTATTACTTCTACAAATAAAATAAAGTAACTATAAAGTTTGAGAATCAATTTTGTAAAAGTATATTATAAGCTTCTAATGCGTACACCTAGGTGCATGAGTATTCCAAAATCCAAATACCACTTTAATGTGTGAGAACTGATCAACAAATAGGTGACTATGCAGTTTTTTGAGAAAACAAATTAAAGCATTTCTAAAGACAATAAATATACCACCTTGAATTCAGTATTGTTCAGTTTCTCAATAGCTGTTGCAGCCAGCTCCCTTGTCCTGAAAGTAACAAAGGCATAACCTTTATTCTCTGATGAATCTTTGCCTTTCATCATTCTAACCTGCCAATTTCAAAAGCTTCTATGAATTGAAATAATATAAAAACTTAAAAACATATTGATAATAAAAAGAAAATACAAATTACTTCAGTAACTTCGCCTGCTGGTTCACAAAAGCTTCTTAACTCTTCTTCAGTTGCATCAGGATGTATGCTTCCAACATATACCTCCGATCCATGTGGAGGAAGCTCAAGTAGTTCAGCATGCTTCTTGCTTTCATCATCCAGGTTTTCACCATCCTCTTTCACAGGATCTTTAATGGCCAAAGTTACACTGGCTTCTGTAGGTGCACCATTAACAAGATCATTATCACTCCCCTCATCAGCTCCTTCTTCTTCTTCTACTTCTACTTCTTCTTCTTCTTCCTCCAACACCTCTTCCTCTTCTTCTTCCAACTCCTCTACTTCTTCCTCAATTTCTTCATATTCAACCTCTTCTTCCATTTCTTCATAGCCATCAAGTTCCACCTGCTCTTCAGGCTCAGCGGGCATTACAGGCTCAGTTACCTTAGCAGCAGCAGCAGCTCTTGCTCTTGTCTTCGGCATTTTCTGTATCTAATGGAATCTTGGAAAGCAACTGTGGAGAAGAGAAGCCAAAAGCATTTGCGGAGGAAGCATACAAATTTTTGTTGGAAGGAAAATAAATGAATGGATGAGAGGAATTCCAAAGTAAGAATCTCATCTCAATCCAAGCCATGGAAAGCCCCAAAGGAGTCTCAATTTGACAGATCATTTGTATTGGATGATAACAATAGTAGTAAACATAGAACAGGTAAGAGAAAGATATAATCATGATAACAGATAGGATGATACTCAACAGGGTCAAAATGATGTAAAGAATTTTAGCTAATTTAGAAAGCAAGATGAAGTTTGAAATATCTTGCTTTTGTTTAACTGATTAAATTATTCAAATCCCAACAAAATGATTCCAAAAGAGAGGGAAACCAAAGAAAGGGGGAAAAAAGAAAAAAAATGTGAGAAGCACAGATAACAGGGAAGTAACAAATAAGTTAAGTTCTAATACCTAGAATAAAATATACATACAAGTAGGATGCACAAAGACATCTATGAAATGCTGCAGTAAAAAAATTTTAAATTCCACTGTGCCTATTACAGTGGAAGAAGATACAATCAGGTAAGTTCAACTCTTGATATTCTTAATCCTAATGCATGATATTATTTAGAAATACCTACCAGCAGCCAGATTTTAGAACACGGGTACAGAAATATTAGGAATCAAGTCACAATAAATGTTTAAAGGAACAAAAATCCACTTTCATTACAAGAGCAACATAAGTTAAAAGAATATCAAGTTTTTCATCATCCAGATTATAAGATAATTTAGTCAACAGCTTCATGATACCAAAACCAGACCAGTTATCAATATAATTCTTAAAATGCTATGACAGTTAAGGGTCCATAATCAGGAAAGACTTGTTTCCAACTAGCAAACCACCTAAAGCCTGGACCTGATACTACATTTATTAGTATAAATGTACTCTGCATATTGTCAATTAACATAACCTAATAATTTTTTAAAGGAAAAAAAAACCCATCATAATAAATGTCATGAGTCAAAAGAATATAGCCAGCAAAACATACAGTATCTCCATCCTAGTCAGTATATCCCGAAAATTGAAGAAACCAAGATATATGACTGGTTTTGTTGGATTCAGTAAACGGTATGCTTTAAACGAGTCATGGAGCCAATGATCAGGAGCCATTTAAACAAAGAAGGCCAGCAGATGGTCTATGAACAAACTCGCAATCTTGTAGATTATTTTAAAGAAATGATTAAGGAAATAATCAATCAGCAGTAACATGCAAACAAAGGAACAAGAGAATTCCTTGGATTTCCTTCAAATAAAATGTCATAATGAAAATGAAACTTCCTTACGCTATGCTAATTAACCAGAGAGAAACATAGCCTATTTGGTTCGCAGATCAAGCTCAGAAGAAGCTTACAAGCATTCAATAAATCGTCTTTGAAAATCCACTTAAAAAAACTTCAATTTTAAGCTCAGCTTCCCAATATACCTAAATAAATCTCTAGATCTCAGGGAAAGAAATACGCAAACGAACTTCAGACCCAGGCACTTGATTGGAACAAGCAGAGAAGGAAAATAACTCCAAAGATATCTTTTGTAATAGGATAAGATCATGAGCCGTGAAAGAAAAATATGAAGATAAACCAATAGAACCACAAAAATTTGGAAAAAAAAAACACCATAAAAGCTTCCGAAGTAAAAGTGCGAGAGCATACCGGATGATCGAGTGGAAAAGCCGTCGAGAGCGAAAGTCTCCCTGCTTTGGATGCCTATCGACAGCTATGAATGGAGCGGAACCCTAATTTTGGTATTTATACATAATTTACGAGCATACCGCCATGCCCCGTCCTGGGACGCCAATTATTTTTAATTTTAGTTTTGGAGAATTTACATATGATAAATTTTTTTATTTATATATTTAACACATAAATTTTTAAATTTATTTAAATAATACAAAAAAATTTAAATCAAATCAAAAATATTATAAATAATAATTTATTAAAAAAAATGCACTTGAGATTTAAATGATTTAAAAATAAAAATAAAATTTAAGCATTAGATATATAAATAAATAATAATTTTATGATATGCATATAAATCTGATAATTTTAAAGTTAATTTTTCCACTTATTACTCCCTTGATTCATTAACTTGCTAAGTATTTTTTAATAAATATATTTAATACATTATCATAAAATCTATGTGATCACGCACAAATCTTAATACATATTAAAATTGAGAACTTTTGAATTCAAATTTAAAATCATATGAACTCTTATTTCAGCAAACTAATAATCTATTTGAACATCTAAACAAGATGAATTCAACCACAAAAAATGATTTGATCTAAGTCTAAATAGCCCATATCATATACTTGAAGCATCATTAGAATTTTATGATATTAATTGAGGCATCAAATAATCTCCATATCTTACAAGTTTATAGTTGAATCGAATGTCTCGACGAGACAAATTCAATAGTCCTAAGATCAGTAAATGTTGGCATCACTAAGGCAGTTAAATGTTGAAAGAATAATTAATAATCAAGAGACTCAATATAGGCCATCCGATAGAATATTTTGGATTACGAATACTGTTAATCTTAAAAAAACTCTAAATAGAATCACTCTTTATACAAAATAGGAGGATGTATGATGAAAGATTATAGAGAGCTCAGATGTTTAAAGAATCCTAGAGCTACACATAATCGGCGCCTTATAATCACTGCTTAATCACCGTCATCGAACCATTGCCCTACTATAGTCATCAGACCACCACTCAAATATTATTATTACAACACCGCTCAACTACCCCCCAACCATCTCTATTAGACCACAATCAGATTGTTGCCATCAAACATTAGCTATGCACCATTAATGGACGATTACTTGGCTGCCAATATCAAACCGTAACCCATCACTATCATCACACATGACTAATCATCATTGTTAAACCATCACCATTTACAATTGCTTGACCGGACTATCGCCTACTCAAATCCCTAATTATATAATTATCATATTACAATAAGTTATATCTATACAACTATATAAGTGTGGTTTGGGATTTCTCCCAAATGCAATCCTTGTCTTCCATTTAATTTACCAAAGATGAATCTCAGCCTTTCATTTTATTTATGCATTTAATTAACTTATTTATTAACTTCATTTATTCAATAAATGCATGATATTTTTTATTTTGTTTATATTAATTGTATTTAAGTCAGAGTCAATTGGTGCATTTAATTACATTTATTTTAGACATTCAATTATATTAATTAATATATTTATTTTTATTATTTCTTAATTAATACTTACTCTAGCAATTAATAAATAATTCATTAATTAATATTCATAATATATAAACTATTATAAAACTAATTTGTAATTCTTCTCATATTGAATTCTAGCATTTAAATTTATGATTAGTGTGGCTTAGGATTCCTCCCAAATGCAATCATAGCCTTCCATTTAATTTATCAAAGATGAATCTCAACCTTTCATTTTATTTATACATTTAATTAAACTTATTAAATTCATTCATTCATTTAAATGCAAGACATTTTTAATTTTGTTTACATTAATTAGATTTAAGTAAGAGTCAATTAGTGCATTTAATTATTTTTATTTTTTACATTCAATTATGATTAATTAATATATTTATTTTTATTATTTCTTAATTAAATATATATTTTTTGAATTCTGTAATACTTCTTAGTCTTCATTCACATTTATTGAATACCCCTTTACATTCTCTTTTTATTATCTTATATTATTTTTATTCTCTTTTATCATGATCTTAATTATTATTAATTAAATATCTCTTCATATTCCCCATCTTGTGTCCCTTATATTTATTATTCCTCTTCATATTTTTCTATTCGTATTTCATATAATTTTTATTCCTCTTCATACCTCTTTATATTTCTTGTCATATTATATATTATAACTCCTACAACTTATCAAAATCTCACCCTAAATAAAACTCTACATTATCCTTTATGATATATCCTATTTCTATGGTGTTGGAAAGATGATATGGCTCGAGTGCTCCTAACAACTCTTTTGTAATGGTAATGTTGCGACAACGAGAATACCATATCAACTTCTTACAGCTCCGATGCAATAGCGAGAAAGCTTTGGATGTCAAATATGCCTCAATTTTTTTTATGTTATTTAGAAATCTCTCTAATTACAATTATATTTTTATCTATAAAATGAAATCTCTTTACATAGTTTTAATTTTGTAGGAAAAGTTTTAGATGCCGAAAATGTCTTTGATTATTTTCGTTAAAAAATCTCTCTAATTACAATAATATTTTATTTCATATATAAAATGAAATATGTTTACTTAGTTATTTTTATTTGTTTGATTTATTGAGTTTAATGATATTCAATTATATTTTATTTATTGTTTAATTGATTGATTTTTTTATTTCAGTCACTTATATATTTTTATTTGTTTGATTTATTGAGTTTAATTATATTCAATTATATTTTGTGATCATTTATTTCATTTTTGAATTCCTTTCAATTTTTTTACTATTGGTTTTATTCTCTTTGAAGAAATTGGATATTAAGTATTTTTTTACATCATAATTAAATGGTGATTCTTTTAGAGTAGGATTTGAATTCATTTCATTTGTTAGTTTATTTCTTTCTATTTTAGGCATATTTGATGCATGTTTTGTATTTCTTAAGATAATGAATTCATTTTTTTTCTCTTTATTACTTAAGATAATGATATATATTTTATATTTTTTAAAGTAAAATAAGTGGTTATTAATTTAAATTCTATGATGTAACTTACATTGTTATGAATATATGTAATTTAAATATGAAATTTGAACTTATCACATTTTATCATTTGTTTTAATTATAATTCATAAAAAATAGATTCTATGAAGGAAATTGTATCATTTGTATTTTTTATATGTTTATGCCAAAAGATAATAAATTTTAGCTAAAAATTATGAACTATAACAGAAGAGCTTGATTCTTCATGCATAACATCTAACTTAGGGGTCAATATTATCCAGTAGACCTCTATATAATTCTCTAAGTATTTTTATTGATTGAAGATTACCAGTAATTTTTTTTAACATTTATCGCATAACCATTTTACTTTCGTATGAACAAAAAGCTTAATATGATCATGCATTACAAGAAATCCTTAAGCATACCATTCCTAAAATGTAACTTGGTAGCTTTAGATGGTCCCTTAATTGTGCTTCTATCATTTCTTTAAAAAAACAAACTTTCATCTTTTCTCACTAAAATTTCTAGGATCCAAAAATAACCTTATTGTATGATAGTGTTTACAAAGATGTGAAAATGGGTGTCAGCACTTCTAATACAATTTATTTTGTTTAAAAAAATAAAAAAAATGGTTCTCATTCCGAATTTATTTTGTTTAAAAATTTGGAATTAGCAATTAAAAAAAAACAAAAATATGGCAAACAACTAACAATCAAATTAATCAAAATTAAGAAGATAAAAAACAAGTAGTCACTTCCATAAAAATGAGAAGATAAAACATAAATTTCCACTTCAAATCAAGCAAAATTTGTCATACCATTTTAGGGAGAACTTTTAGCATCATTCATTCAAATCAAAGCCATACCAAGAGCTCCCAAAGCTACGACAACCACATGCATTGCAACAAAAAATGAGAGAGAGAGAGAGAGAGAGAGAGAGAGAGAGAGAGAGAGAGAGAGAGAGAGAGAGAGAGAGATGAGGAGCAATTGAGAACCTTTCCCACAAGGAGAAATCAAATGTTGGAGAAGAATGATCGATTTCGGGAGTTCAAAATCGAAGATTGGAGAGAAATTCAAAAGACTAGCGGGATTGAGAATATATGTGAAATATGAGTGGAGTGGATGTGGAATATGGAAAGTTTCAATTAGATGAAGAGGTTGGATTTATTTTGTCATGTAAATGTGATGTAAAACTATATATGCAAGTGATGTTGATTTGGAAATTACACGTGCTTAAACATAGCTTAATAATTTATTAACTATCCATGAACTTACGTAATGACTTCCGCATGCAAGGGGATCGACAATCAAGTTTACAAAAACAATCACATGCTGATGGGACGACCATTAAATAATATATTATTTAATAACATGCTCACATGATGTTTCAGAGACAATCCCAAAGTTAACAAATAGATTAGTCACTACAAAGGCCCACTCACACAACACTCTTCATGTGGGCTATGAGAATAAGCTTTCACAAGAAAATAATGCCACGATTGAGGAGGGACTAAAAAGATACAAAGGGGGCGGAGAGAGAGAGAGAGAGAGAGAGAGAGAGAGAGAGAGAGAGATTTTACTCGCATAAAAGAAGATACTAAACCACAGTGAAGTTGTTTGGCTGCATATGTGGAAAGGACAATAATATGAACCCTCTTGTATGCCCGGACAACAATATAACGTCTCCGAAAATTCTGGACATCAACTATATGGACGTCAAATCCTGGAACAACTCATAGTGGGGCTGGAAAAAAGGTTGATCTTGTATTTCAGCAGTAGGCGGGTGTCTTTGGGATGATTTGGGAGGGAAACAATAAGCTCCTAGTATGAAATTGGGGGGTGGCAAGCACTAAATGATTAGGGAGCTGATTTAGGGCTATAGTGAGTTGCCAACTATAGCTTACTAGTTAAGGAAAAGAAGAATTAATTCAGATTTCCAATCAATATTCAAATTTGTTGATGGAGATATCTTTCCAAACATAACCCAACAATTTAGAAAGGAATTCAAGGCTTGTGGGAGAATTTGAGTTTGATTTCAAATTCTCAAAATTAATGCTAGGCTAATTTAGGAAGGGGGATTAATTTGGTTCTCCAATTAATATTAAAATTG